ATAAAAAGTATACTCTGAATAAGAAAATCGACCTTCTAAAGAAGCAAGCTTGATTCTAATCAAATGATGAACCAACAAGCACAAGTCTAAAGATTTGGATCAACCCCTTAAGCATCAAATGTCGATCCCTGAAGTTGCAAAGAGAAAAATCAAAACCTTGGAGAGAAACAAAGCAATGGGGCAAATGCATAAGGTTGGAGCATCCAAAAGAAAGTTTAAAATTCAATTTTGGCACCTGACATGGAAGTAGGATCAACCCCTAGAGGAGTAAGTGTTGATCCTTAAGAAAACAAAAAGCTGCTAACTTTGAAGTGGGACAAAGAGAATTGACACCTCAAGAAGCAAAGGTCGATTCACAAGAAAACAAAAAAGTTCTGGATGAAAATTAGAAAAAAAAATCAAGCCTTCACAAATCTACAAATCGATCCTCATAAGCTCCTGATTAAAGCAAGTGTCAACCCACAACTATAAAGAATTGATCCCAAGAGTATGAATGACACGATCTAGTTGGCCCTAACATTTAGAATTTTGATTCCAACTTACCTAAATGGGCAAAAACCATGATGACCTATAAATACCTTTATGAAAACGTCATATGTGAAGAAAAATGAGCAAAAAATTCATTACAAAGTCAAAGAAAAAGCCAAGAAAATCAAAAAGTTCATTCCTTCTCTCTTTACAATAAATCCTTGAAAAGTGTACTCTTTTGCAACCTTCATTCTTTGAAAAATCTTCATTCCTGTGTACTGAACTTAGCTTATTAGCCTTTTAAAGTCTTAAGCTTAGTATTCTAGAGTGTATCCATTGCTCTTAAAGGTTATACCTCCATACATAGGCGGACCCATGTTCATGAAAGTGATGTCACATGACAACACTTAATTAAAAAATATTTATTATATTATTTTTTAAAAATTTTATATATTTAATAATACTATGAACCCATTATTTTTTTTGCAATTTTGTAGAAAGTGGAGTCAAAAGGTAGATTTTATTAAAAAAGTTATATATTAATAATACTTAAATATTTTTTTAAAAAATAATATTTAAATATTATACAAAAGTAGATTATCAAAAATTAATTTATATATTAATATTTAAATTCTACATGGCAAGATAAAAAATTTTTCTTCTATAATCTAATATTTTATTAAAACAAAGTTAAAACATAAACTATTCTCTCTCTTCAAAAATTCAAGTTTTACTCTTTAAAACCTATACTGACTTTTCTTTTCTTAGTCCTTGCTTGTGTCTTTCACTCTCTCAAAACAACTCAACTAGATTAAACTATAAGTAATTTTCAATCTAAATTAAGTTTTTAAATATTTCATGTCTAAATATGTTTTTATTAATTTGATAGTTTGGATTTATAATTATAAAGTATAAGCTACGCAATTGAATGACTAACAAGTTTGATGAATGATGGCTTGGTGACATATATTGAAGAAGACATACTTGATAGTGTTAAAATTTAATGTCTAAATTTATATTTTCTTAAATTTAATGTTAAAATTTATACTCTATGAATTTTAACATACTTATTTTTTTAATTACTATTTTAATTATAACACCACTCAAAAAAATTTATATGTTTGCCCCTATCTCCACAGAAAAGGTAGTTAAGGGTTATACCTCTATAGAAAAGGTAGTTAAGGGTTATACCTCTATAGAAAGGGTAATTATTATTGGTTATACCTCCATTGAAAAAGTTAAGGCAATTAAACCTTAACCCTTAAAAGGTTTGCTATCAATGCTGATGTCAGTAGTGATGTCATCTTTTTAACAACAAAATTGGATGCCATTAGAGGGATGGACAAAATGAACGCAATTCCCAAAATTAAGTGACTAAATTATTTTGATTTTGAGTACAGGGACTTATTGGGTGTTTGAGCTAGACTAAATTCTATAAAATGCTATAATATAGGGACTTCCTATGTGCTTTAACCATTCCTGTAACTTGTCAAAAAACTCTTCGAATGAAATGTGAGTTTTCTTACATTAATGCATATTTTGCATCAGATTCTTGCCTTTAAAGGTCTTCATATTCCTGCAACTTGTCAAGAAGCTCTTCAGATGAAATGTGAAATTTTTTGACTTTAACAGAACTTGTAATTTCTTTGTACTTATTGCCAATTCAAGTGTATTGGTAGTTGAGGTGTGATGAATGCTGGAGGGCAAGGCTTTGATCCATCTATTTATCATTGAAAATACTTAGTGATAGATCTACTACTTGGAGGTTGGCTTAACTTTTTTTTTAGATTCATTATCTAGGACCTTGATTTGTTTGCAAAGAGATGATTGATTTTTTACCATGCTTCAAAGGATATGTTGCAAAAGGCAAATAATGACACAATGGATTCAATGGTAGAGGCAATAATGGCATGAAGCAACAATTGATATTTTTGAGTATAGTGTTGATAGTCTACATTTGAAACTAGTTCAAGTGGATTGGTAGCTGAGGTGTGATGAATGTTGGAGAGCAAGGCTTTGATCCATCTATTTATCATATAGTCTGTATCATATAAATAAGGAGTTGAATTATGAATGCCAAGAGGGAAAACTTCAACATGTGAGTTTGATAGGAAATTAAGCTACAACGTGGGTTGTTACTAATAGAGTTGTTGATTTGCTAGTGAAGAACTAGGAGAACTAAAGGCACAAAGGCCGATAATAAGGGAGGTTGAGAAAAATTGAGAGGGAGAGGTTGAAGTCATAGAGATTTGAAGGTAATTAGAAGAGGAAGGGATCATAACTGAACTCTTTAGAGTTGAGATACTTTGATACCATAAGGAATTGAAGATTACAAACTTGATTAAAGAGGAAAGCATGCATGTTATTATCATTGATGTGAGTGTTTATAATACAAATGTGTCCCTTTTGGATAAGAGAATAATATGTACATTTGAGTAAAGATTAAACTTAAGCATGGATTACATTTATTCAAATTAGAGGTAGCATTATCAATCAATTTATCTTTGTGTGTTTTTTGCTCATTTTTACTGCTTGGTTTGCTTTGAATTTTAGATCACTTTTAATTCCAATAACAATTTATAAATTCTATTTCCTCGAAAAACATTCCAAAGGTTAGAGTTTAAAACTCTATCTTAAAAGATTTAGGTTTGAATCCTAGGATGGGGTAGGTGGGTTTTATGAGATAAGAGAAGGTTACCTCTTAGTATGTAACACAATATCACACACACACACATATATATATGTATATGGTGTCACATGACAACACTCAATTAAAAAAATATTTATTATATTATTTTTTAAAATTTTATGTATTTAATAATACTATGAATTCGCTAATTTTTCTGTAATTTTGTAGGAAGTGGGGTTAAAAAGTAGATTTATTAAAAAATTTATATATTAATAATATTTTAATATTCTTTAAAAAATAATATTTATATAGTATCAAAAAGTAGATTTATCAAAAATTAACTGCTACTTTCTCTTCAAAAATTCAAGTTACTCTTAAGGCCTATTGTGACTTTCCTCTTTTAGGTCCTTGCTTGTGTTTTTCACTCTCTCAAAACAACTCTATTAAGCTTCAAGAGTAAGTAATTTTCAATCTAAATTAAGTTTTTAAATATTTCATGTCAATGTTTTTTGATTAATTTGATAGTTTGGATTTATAGTTATAAATTACAAGCTACACAATCAAATGACTGACCAGTTGATGAATGATGGCTTAGTGGCATATATTGAAAAAGATGTATTTGATAATATATCTACTGATACTATCATACAACGTTTTCAAAATATGAAAAATCATCGTGAACAATTACAATTTTTTTTAAATTTTTTACTTTGAAGTATTAAATAAATGTATTGAATTTACATGTTCTTTAATTTAATGTTAAAACTTCTACTTTATTAATTTTAACATCTTATTTTTTTAATTATTATTTTAATTATGACATCATTTAAAATAATTTTTGCATCTGCCTTTATATATATATATATATATAAGTTCTATTGTTATTTAATGAGAAAATTTATTTCATGTATTTTTTGTTACTTTTTAGTATTTGCTTTAATCTTAAAATTTTTGTGAGTTTTTTTTTTGTATTTTACTTACATATATACGAAGATTAGTTTATAAAAAAAATAAAATAAAATATGGATTTGGTTTGGTACCAAAAGTCATTGTCTAGATTGATAAGTTTTAAAAATCTGCCACCGATATTCAGTAGCTCGACATTATTAACCTTACATAATTGAACTCAGAATCTTTTCCTACCATATAAAATGGATTGTTCCTTTTCAAGCAAAAAGAATAAACGTGTATATTCTTCATTCAAACCGTAACCACCGGATCAGCACTTCATATTTTGTTTCCTTTTAAGTTCCTTTCCCTTCCAACCACGTTCCTCAAGCATATTAAACTATAAGGGAAATATTGTTGGCATCAACTTGGCTGCTGATAATGATACATACAGCATCCATCCTTCTTTGGTTTTTTCAAAGAAAATATTGATAATATAGATATAGCACTTAATAAAATCCTTGGTGAAAATGGGATTGAAGCAAGGCAGTGCACCAAGAGCTGAAATAGTGGAGCATCTAAATGTAAATTGAAAAATATAAATAGGATTTTCTAAATAATTTTACAAAATTTCTCAACTTAATTGCTCCTGTAATTATGTAAAATAACAAAGAAGACTCTACACTAGTTTGGGTGCTTTGTGAATTGTGAGACTAAAGTTTCTGTGTTTGGTTTATATGAACATCATCAATGTTGGTCATTTTTAGACCAAATTATATCTGTAATTTAGGCATTATTATATTTATAACCCGACGTGGAATTAGTGAACAATGAATATGAACAGGTGTGAACCTATTTTCAATAGAGCCACAGCTTTAGTCCAAACCTGACAACTGATTTGTCCCACCAAATTCATGAAGCTACTGTTACGTTCCTTCCTTTTTTAGGCCACCTATTGCTAGTTACAAATCACAGCAGCAAAGCCTCAAATTACACTGTTGAGTAAGAGAAGAAAATGGAGGGCTGTAGAATGCAGTTATTAGCTTTCTTCTCTTGGATGCTTATTACGCCTCCAGCAATATATGGTTGGGGTACTGATGGCCATGCCATAGTTTGTAGAATTGCTCAGGTTTTAACCCATCTGTCTTACAACCCTTTATGTGATAGTGATGCCGTTATGTGTTTTTTTTCTTACTGGTCACTAAGAAATCATTTGTTTACTGATAGCCTCGCTTGAGTGAAGCAGCAGCAGATGCTGTGAAGCAACTTTTGCCCAAATTTGCAGAAGATGACCTTGGAAGTGTGTGTTCATGGGCAGATCAAGTTAAGTTCCGTTACCGCTGGTCATCTGCTCTTCATTTCATAAACACCCCTGATACTTGCACTTACCAGTACCAAAGTAAGTTTCTACACCCTCTTCCTTCTTCTTTCCATGCTTTGGAGTTGTCTATAAAGAAAAATTTTATCTTCCATTAACCGTTAGCAGAAAAGCTGGATCAGGAAACGCTGGTTTTTGAATGCTAACTGAAAGCTATGAAAACCTGCCGGCAACACATATTCATGAAATGCGGTTACTTAAATTTATTCATGAAAACGAGCCCCATAAGGTCAGCCAAGTTGGGGGTTACTTAATAATTTTGAATTCTGGGACTCACCAATACTTGTGTTAGGAATCTGCACACGGTTGCCTCTATTTTGTCTTTTTCTTTTAAAAAGAAAAAAGAAGTTAAGGGGATTCTCATTACACAGGCGACACAAGATACTGAATCTAATAGAGCAATGGTCTAATAATACTAAAGGTGGTAAAAACATATATGATATTCCTTTTTTGATTAGTTTTTGTAATCAGACTTTAATCTCCAATGTTAGCTTGAGATTGTTTTTGTTAAAAGATGTTTAGGATCTTTATTTTTCCATTGCAGGGCAGTACTATATATAAAATTACCTTTAGAAATGTGGAATCAAAAAGTTAGAGAAATTATCTATATATGGAACACAGTAGCATATTCGTAAAGATTAAGAGATATGATTATAGGCCTAGTTATAAAGATATTGAATGATTGTACTAAATTGCTACTTTTGTCTTCAGGGGACTGCAAAGATGAAGAAGGAGAAAAGGGAAGGTGTGTTGCTGGGGCTATTAACAATTACACCTCCCAGCTTCTTAGCTACAACTCTGCTGCAAGTAGAGCTGAATGTATATTCTCCACAGCATCTGTTTTTCTATCCTGTTCTCTTGTTTTTGTTCTTGAATTCTTCATATATTTCCCAGTAACTTGCCGTTTTGCTTACAAAATTCCTTTTTATGCTATTAAATCAACAACTACAAGATAACCTTACGGAAGCACTTCTCTTCCTTTCTCATTTTATGGGAGACATCCATCAGGTATGGTCCCAATCCAGTAAAGGGTCCAATTTGAGAACTTGTTAACACCAACTTGAAATTGCAATGTAAACAATATCGTTGACCATCGCAGCCTTTACATGTTGGTTTCGCATCAGACGAGGGAGGCAACACAATTGATGTCCACTGGTATACAAGAAAAGAAGTTCTTCACCATGTAAGCATAAGTTTAACTTGTTCATTTGCTTTTTGGTAGTGTTATCTTTTGCGCATTAATGTCAAAGAATACAGGTATGGGATAGCAATATAATTGAGACAGCGGAGGAAAGGTTCTATGATTCAAATGTAGATGCCATGATTGATGCAATTCAACAAAACATCACGGTATCTTTCCAAGGCAGCTTTTCACCACCTCATTCTATTATTAATTCATCAATTCTAATTTATGTTGGATTCCCGTTTTTTTTTCCTTGATGACTGAAAAACAGATTGAATGGGTAGATCAAGTGAAAAGATGGGAGACCTGCAGTCTCAATAAGACAGCATGCCCTGACATGTATGTTCTGTTAACAATGGTTCGGTAGGATATTAGAAATACGAGCAGTCGAAGTCCCATTTCTTTCCACATTTTAAGACTTATCACCAGACTCATTTGCAAGGCAACAGAATTTGATTTGTGTTTTGAAACTAATGCTCCATTGCTCCGTTAGATTAGTGATTGACCGCTGAAAACTGAAAGAAATACAAACGCATTGAAATTTACTTCTTATGTATGCTATTGGCAGATATGCATCTGAAGGTATCAAAGCGGCTTGTGATTGGGCATATAAAGGTATCACGGAAGGGTCAGTACTTGAAGGTAATCTTGAAATTTTCTTTTGAGATAAGCCACATTGCATGTTTATCCATTTCCAATTAGAGAAGAGACAACAATATATAAACTACTCGCAGATGACTATTTTCTCTCCCGATTACCAATTGTTAACTGGAGATTAGCTCAGGGGGGAGTGCGATTGGCAGCCACTCTCAACCGTATCTTTGGGTGAAAAAGTACCTCATCCTATTTTCATTTCGAGGAATTCATCAGATATGCTTGAAGCTTTAAATATAGAGGAATTACTCTGATGTATTACAGATATGGCTTATTCCAGGCATTGCTTGATAATGTAAAAATCTATGTTCTATGTATCTTTTTCTCTCTATTTATTTTTTTCTTTGTCGAGCAACGGTTTTTATTAATCCCAGCAATCACTCCTGTCATTTCTATTCTTGAGCCTACTTTGGCTAGAAACTTTTCATGACAATAATAAAGACTTGGCAGGAAAGTTTCTGTACAATTACATCCAATAGTTGCATCCACCCAAACAGATATTGGCAGCCGTTCACAACAAAACTAAGATGGTCACTTATCTTCGATGCTAGTAGCCTATACAAAGAACCAATGTTTGTGGCCATACCGAAAAGAGAAAGGAGCTATGATTTCCTTTGCTAATCAGCATCTCAACAAGTGTACATCACCCTTGCTTAACAGAGCCTACCTTGTCACTTTATCCTAGTGGTCTTAAGCTCTGAAATTTAGATCCAATCTTAAACGCATGGACTACCTCCCTTATCGACATTTAGTTATGACTGGCTTCAAAAAGAAATGTCTTCCAAAGATGCTTACTGCTTTGAGCCTTGTTACCTTTCATCTATTTTCTTTCACTGCTGTCACCTCTGTTTCTCAATTCTAAGTTGAGCTAAACAACAAAAAGCATTAGCTCTCTACCCTCTACCCCAAAGGAACCCAGAGTTGAACAAAAAAGAAACTCAGATTATGCATCAACTTGTATCACTCCCTTGCAAAAAACGAGACCTGCTTACATCAAAATTAATGATCGGTCTCTTAGCCTCCGATCCCTGACATTAAACTTACAACTGATTACCATGGTAATTCAATCCTAGTCTGTACCAACTTTAGAAAACAAACTTAACAAATTGGAGGTGATTTCTGTTGGTATAAGTCCTACAAGCCAATCTGTGGTTGTATAGGAATTGCAATTTTGAGTTATTCATGTATGACATTTTATTATTCATACGAGGTAATTCTTTATCCATAAGTTTGTGATTTAAAGTATTATTTTTATATATACTTATGTAGATAAAGCTCATGGAACTATATGTGCCTTGTAAAGGAATTGTATTGAGATACAATTATGAAATCCTTATGCATTAAAGCATTGTTCCTAAATGTTCCTGATCATTATATTATTGAGACAGGGCATCAATAATACTCAAAGATTGGCACATGTTATGTTCTTTACTTATGAAATAAGCAATCTTTCTTATAGGTTGAAGTATAAAAATACTTGGAACTAGCATGTGGGTGCTAGCCATGGGAGAGCGAGTTCACTGAACATGACCCGTCACGAAAAGTGCATTTGGTACCTTACTCAAGCGTCTATGTAATACTTCTCATGTGTCAGTTGTGCAACTACTCCCTAGACTTGAGACACCAGGTTCTTTTGTATGTAGAGTACTATGCTTTGATTTCATCCTTATGGATGCCTAACCAAGGATGCCAAAACAGGATGTTTTTGGATATAGTATGAAGCATATGAAGGCAAATGAGTGGTAAAGATAGGAATCATCACCCCAAGTGATTTAAGGGAAAATATCTTATTAGTTCTTGGTTGACATTAGCTTAATCAAATCCTTGGCCAAGGTGATTAGGAGATTATGAAATGAGTTTTATAAGTCTCCATAAAGCTAATGATCCAACTGCAAGAACAAATACAAAGATTAATAAGAGTAGGCACTGCACTAAACTCTTATCATCACTAGGATATATGATGACGGAATGAATTACACTGAAAAACTATACACTGAAGGGTTGTTAAAGAATTCTTTGACTTTCCTAACAATTGGGTGGCCATGATGCATTGTTAGATGCCAATCATGGTTTATAGAATTGAATTAGTTAATTTAAAATTGAATATGATTCATTTAAATTAATTAATTAATAATATTATAATTCAATTCCATTGCCAACATGTTAGGAACCTAATGGGTCACATACAAAGGTTGCAATTGGATTAAATTGAGAGTGTGATGATTTAAGTTAGACTTAAATCGAATTCTAGGTTTTAACTACTAAAGATTAGGTATTGATTAAATATTATAACTGTTATAATATTAAGGACTTATTTAGCAAATTTTGATAAGTTAAACCTAGATATAAGTATCACATTGTAGCCTCTCTTTCTTTGACGGAAGTGGGGAAGGAAACAAAATAAAAAAAAAATCTTGTGCAGCCACTCTAGAGAGGTTTAATTTTATTTTGAGAACTTCTCTTTTGATCATTTGTTAGAAATCAAAGAAGAAAAAAGGACAAATCGTTGTCCACTTGCTAGCACAAGCCCGTGGCATAAAGCTCTCTCTTTGGGAAGGATTCGTTGCAATCGTGTGTGCATCATTGGAGGCCAAGCGATTGAGTGGCTCGAATTCCTTCACACAAAAGGTGTTCACGTTTTGTCACCAAAAGGAATCCATTTGATTACGATATCAATTGGAAAGGTAAAATTTTTCTGATTTATGTGGTACTTTACTTTGCATTAAACAACCAAGGTTTTCTAAAGATAGGAGGCATGTTTTACTTTATTTCAATTTTTGTTATTCTGCTGCATCGATGCTGTAATCATGCCATTCGCAACAGTGGTATAAGAGCCTCCCTTGGCTCGTTTTAATTCAAAGGTATGTCTTGTTGTTATTAATACTCTGTTCGACATAGATGTGAAAATTCGGGTATCAAATGGTGAGTTCAAGTTTACATAATTTTGTTTTGAAATTGTTTGATATTTCTGAACAGTTTTATTTTGTAAAATTTTATATTCTTATTAATGAGCATTAAACATGTTTTAATGTCAAGAATTTACAGATTAGAGTTTCCATAAGATGCACAAAAACCAGCAAAGGAATTCTGGTTCGTGGAGGAATGGAGATATGGGTATTAAGGGCAGATTTTGATTCTGTCCAGGTTTGGTTTTTTGCATCGTTTCAGCAAACAAATGAGTCCTAAAACTTCTCAAATTTTGCATAAACGATGTTAAGTTGATGTTCTTTGAAAATGTTTCAAATATGGCTGAAAACCAATAACACAAAGTGAGCATGAACCCTTGAAACTAAGTCTAATCGCTGCTGCCAGCAGCAGACTTTGAGTCACGGTTTCGCTTGTTTTCAGCAGGCAGAAGTCATCCAAAATTGATGCTAATGATGATGAGAGAGGTTTCATACCTTAGCTGATTGGAGGATTAGGATAAGGGATAAAATCCCAAAATTTTATGCCACTTTAATGGCCAAGAAACGTGGTCAATAAAATTGCTGCAAGCAGTTTTTGAATGCCACGGTTTTGGCATTTTGAATTGCCTTATCTTGCATTTTAATTTGATGCAATTTAAAAAAATCAATTGATTATCAGATATTTTGTGGAAGTAGTTCCATAAAATCAGTAAATCAAAATAGATTTTGAAAGTTTCCACAAAATAAGGAATTTGATTCCTGCAAAATATGAAAATTATTTTAATCAATTGACAAGTTAAAATAATTTGACATATTAAATTTAGGGATTGGTTTCCTAATTTTATTGAAGTCAAAATTATTTTAAAGTCTTCCATAAATTAAGGAATTAGATTTCTGTATATTATGGCAGTCTAAGAATAAATAGGCAATTTAAAATCAAAGGAATATCCCATGATATTAGCTATGGAATTCGGATTTGATAATTGGATAAATGAAGATTTTATTGTCTTAAAATTACCAAATGAGATTACGTGATTTAAGACATAAAATCTTTAATATCTAATTGGTAAAGGATAACCTTAAATATTTGGATAAAGCAAATTAAAATTGTTTTAATTTGTAATAAATCCTATTCTAATAAGATTAGAATATGGATAAAGGTTATTAATATTCATTAGTAAGGATTTCTATATATGGAAATTGTTTCTTTATATATGCAAATAAATTGAGACCCAAAAATTTGAAATTAAGTTAATTCAAAAGTTGAATTTAACTAACTTCAAATAAATCATGTGATTAACAACTTGAACAAAACATAGATTTAATTTTATGTTC